AGATGAGAAAAGCTGGTGGCGATATTAGTAGCTTATACGCCGACACTCTGCGTAATCTCTTTCGTAGTTGACAACAGTTTAGTTTGCCATCCGTCAGCAGGATATTGTTCTCGCCGTTCAAACTCGCCAGCTGAGCCAGGGTTTGCTAGGAAGTAATCTCTCCAATCCAAGTGCCACACTATCAAATGGTCGGTGGAGAGGGATTCGTGGCTACGAAGTAAACTAATGCTAGCTGAGATAGACTTGAATCGATAATTCCTGTATCTGGTCCCGAGCCCATAAAGAAGAGCCGAGCTCGAGAAGACAGAGGAATCACCTTATTTCCCCAACGAGAAAGTGGCTCTTGTGATTAGTTTAGTATTGGCAATACGGATACACCCGCGCTGAGCAAACAGAGACCCGAAAAGATGGAACCAACTCAACATCACTAACTGTTTTGGTGCGAATGGAGGGGCAATACCAACCGGTGAGGCTGGTTGGGCCCCAATAACCCCATTTTCATTAGTTTAGTTTGTCCAATCCTCCTCGTTGCATGCAGAGTGATGGATTCAGCGCCCGACCTCTTAAGAAAATCATTACGGGGGCGCCTGTCTTTTTTTTTTTCTGATCGAGGAACGGGCGTGCACCTGCAAAAACCCATGATCAAATGATGTGTTTGTTGTATGACGCTACTGTCGCAGGTTTCGAGCGGGGGGCGGTGACCAAACAGAAGTTTTCGTTTCCGGGCCGTCCTCTGACTCGGCCGCAGGATACGGCGCACGATGCTATGGAACCTGGCGTGATATCAATATAAAAATATGTACTCGGCATGCAAGAGACTGACGGTGGGATGGAGACCAACTGGGCGAGTGGCTCGTTGCAGGTGGCAGTATGCAGGAAGACCAATAGACCGAGAAAAATATTGATTGACGTGAGGTGGATGGCTTGGCCAGTTGTCGTTTCGAAATAGGAGAGAAAAAAGAAAAGAAAAAGGAAAGATAAAATGAAACGGATCAATCCGTGAATGCCAAAATGCTTTTTGCACCGTCAAGCTGGTACCTATTATCTAAACTAAACTATGTACGAAGTATGCCTCGAGACAATCCATGGATCGATTGATCTTGAACACAATGTTGCTGGTCCTTCGGTTCAGTGGGACTTCTGCAAACGGTGAGAAGAACAATAATATTGATTCATCGAAATGATCGGCTGCCGGCGTCTCTCACGCGTTATCCGCCCTGCGAATGGGGCAATTTCTATACCCTCTGTCACATAGAGTTACTGCAATTGACTAGAAAAAGGGCCAGAGTGGTGTGGTCATCGAGGGTAGGTGAAACAAGCACGTTCGAGAAGAAGTCTGATGGGGTGCCATGGAGGAAAAAGCAGGTCAGCAATGGAGCGCTTGTGTCTACGACGAAAGTCAGCGACGGACTTGTTTCAGTTGTGATTACAGTTTATCGGATCAATACACAGGTATCAAATTGAGACTGATCCTCGAGGTGGAAACTTGCACTGGAGGCCCAAGGTTATATCCAAGCCATCAGACAACAACTTTGAAGCCCCTACCGGCATCTGCCTTGGCAGTGACTTGGCCCTTGGTGGTATGAGTACGACGTACAATCAAGAGTCGTTCGTTGGGGATTGGAGCTTCCCGAATGAGGGTCGAGGTACACATGTACTCCAAGCATATTACGTACTCATGTCGTCCGCCGTTAACTTAACTGTGGCGTCGAGAGATGCGGCAGAAGCTGACCAGAAGAGATCCTGCATCCTTGGTACGGTGAAAGGGGGGAGTCTTGTGCACTAATCTTGCTCTGCCCACCTAAATGGCATGGCCTCGGATGATAAATGAGGCGCTGTCTCTCAGTGAAAGCCGTGAATGACATGTCATCCTCGATCTGTCACTTATGATACCGTTGGGGGCTATTTTACTCCACTGCATTCTTCTCACTCGCACGACGCGGACAAGCGAGTCTGCTAGTCGCGGACATGGTAATCACTGAAGAAATTGGCGGTTCCACCGTCCATCCAGCACGACGGGGACTTTGAATTGATGGCTTGAACAGCAGGAAGGCCACTGGTCCGTAAACGATGTATACAAGGGCCAGGCCTTCGTAGCGTCTGAGTTGACAACTGGAGGATGACTAGCCCTTGTCAATAACAGGGAGTCAGGGAGGCAGGCGTATGCTCTTAAAGAAAGCACGAGAGGCAATGACGGTTCTTGACTGGGATACCATCTCGCTGACTTACAATTCGCACTGAATTACTCACGCCTACATGTTGGACCCCCTGCTCGATGAAGAAAAGACAAGGCCTGACCTGGCTCTTCAGCGGCGTGGCGCCGTTAGAGTTACGTTGTCGGAGCACTGCCCGACTCCAGCGAAGTTATCTGTCACATTCCCGTCCTAATTGCTTGTGTGGACCTGTCTCATCGCGACCGTTTGTGTCGCTGTTTTTGTTGTGAGAGAATGGATAGCTAGTTTACCTGTGTCCAGCTGTTAGACCAGCTCCTCGGCGTGGTGAGAGTTCCCGTTTGGCCGGTTGCGAGGGGCGATTCGGTAGCAAGAGCTGAGAAGAGAACGGTAGCTTTGTGGGACTTTTTGTTGCGTCAAGTCGGACCGGTGGCGGTGAGGGTTTAACGGGCTTTCCCTTGCGGGAGCTAAATGGCAACGTCGTAGCGTAATGGCGCAGCTATTTTCTTGTTCTCGGGCGTCGATGATGGCACTCTGTTCCCAAAGACCATTTCCACTCATCCGTAAGAAAATGCCCGTCCGTAACCACGTTTCTTCCCTCTGAAGTACTTCATACTTTGTCCTTGACTCTGTCAAACACTTGGTGTCACTTCTTTGGACCCCCGCAGTTGGCCAACCACTCCTGGTGCAGAAAGTTGCATCGGGTGTCCAAGCGAGAGGAGGCGTGGTCTATTTTGGCTTAGGCACTCGCGCCGCCTCCAAGACGGAGCCCTTTAATTGGCACATCCGAGCTTTGCGGCCCCTTCAGTGTGGGCTTGTCCTTCTGTTCAACATGCCACGATTGTCCTCGCAGGGTATACCAAGTAGGCATCGACAGGGTTTATCGGGACGGTCGTACGCCAGTTCCTCTGGCGTGAACCAAGTAGTGTACACAGGTACTTCGTAGTGTACGAAGTACTATCCTCAGAATATGCTGTGAAAGGCAACCCAGACAGCCTGGCAATACTGACGACCCAAGAGGGACGCCATATTGATCGATGTACTTCACACACCACTTCTACCAAATTTGTTTGGTCTGGTACTAAATGTGGTGGAGTATTTCAATCAATCAATTAATAGCGGTCAAGCAGGAGGAAATGCTTTCTGTCGCTGGGCCAATTGATTTTGGTAACCTGCCTCGTGTTGCTAAATTGACACTGTGCATCCGATCTATTTCCTCCCATTTGTTTGCTGACAATGCAGTGCTGCCCCGACCATTCGGTTTCGTTATTGCTCTTTCCTTGAACAATTGGTAACCCCAATACCAGAGCACTGGGAACATAGCCGGTTGTTTCTTGAGCTTTGGAAGTGGGTACAATAGCAGAGGTACATTATAGTGACTCGAGTCATGTCTCAGGGACTTGATGAGCCCCTCCCCAAGTCCATCAATACGTCGTCTCAATTCGGATTAGTGGCCTACTCTTCATGGGTCTTGTACCCCCATTCCGGTACTCAGTGGGTACTTTATCCAAGCACAACAGTTGATCAAGATCAAACGGATCAAATTATCCAGTCCTTTTACACCCACCCAGCGACCACAAAATACTGTTCAAGATACACTTCTTCCTACAATTCCATCGCCTAGATGCTCTGTTCATTGTCGCAGACTGCTGGTAAGGCGCAGACCCTCATCGCATCCACCTTGGTCTAGGTCAACAACTCAACAAATAACAACAAGTGCTTAGGCAGGGCCAGATATAAGCATGAGTCTACTCATTGAGTGGCAGTTGCGAGAATATCAGGGCCAAATATTTGCTCATATACCAAGTCCGGAATTGTGAACTGGAGCATAGAGACAAACAGTTCTTGATGCTGTTTGACGACAGTAGTAACGGAATTGTACTAATGCCAAGTCAAAGCAAAGTGTTTGTTCAATGTTACGACAAGTACTTCGTACACTAGGGAGGTGCTGCTACCCTGGGTTTTTGCGCATCCATACGGAGCTCAGTCCGGCCTCATGCAGAGGTCACTTCTTCCCACCCCCTCATCAACCCATTCGCTCTTCCTTGGGTTTGGGTACTCCAATTAACGTATGACCCAATGCCAGGGTTGGGTCGGTGTTGTATCCTGATGGAGTACCCCGTATTTCTGGATGGAGTACTGTAATGTACGCCACCCGGTCCAAGTCGCTGGCTTGTACCGCAGCACAGGGGAAGGGAGCCTCGTGGACCTCGTACCAAGTACACAGCACATACGACTACGAAGTTAGGAGTGGTCCTTCCCTTCCCACCTCGTAGGCGCCCTGTCCGCTTTCCCTGTTTCCTCGGACCAGTCCCCGTCCTTCCTTCCACACCCATGCACTCAATATTAACACCTCTCTCCACTTCCTTTTCCCTCAAATCTCCTCTCTCTTCCACCTCTTCCTCGCTCCCGGATTTCACCTCCATTCCTCATCGCACCGTACCGCCCGGCATCGTCCACCAACCCCCCCTTGCGTGGACTCTAATCCACCGCAAATCTCGCCGTCGGTCACTACCATAAAACGATTCACTCGACTCGATCCGAATCGACGGGAAGCCGAGTGAATTGGTAATCGAACTCATATATTACCGCCTACCTCCCTGAACCAGACCCAAAAATCCGATAACACGAAGTCCGATCTTTGGTTGCTTTTCGAACATCCAGATACCCTCCGAATTACACGACCCACCCCGCCACTGTATAATCCGCTGCGTGCTTTTGTTTCGACAGTGCTCTTGTGTGAGCCGTTGCCGACGTCTTTTGTCGAGCACGTTCCAATTTGTCCAACCAATACCAACGAAATCATCGAACCTGAACCTCATCGGCACAATGAGTTCCGCAGCCCCCGCCACAGCTCCTACCCAGGAGAAAGGAAAAGAGAAGGAGAAGAAGGGTGTTGGCAAGCTTCTCTCGCGAATGAAGACCGTACTTAAGAAGGGCGAGAGCTCCACCAGAAGGTTTTCCATCATTGGATCCAAGACGCATAAGAAGGGGTAGGTTTCTTTCCATGGAGGCGACGAGCGTCTTCTCCGTCGAACAACCGGGGCGTCTGCGAGCGCATGGTTTAACGAATGCTGACATCTCTTCAGCGAATCCTCTGAGCAGAAGACGGAAACCAAGCCGGAGCCCGAAGGTGTTACTAAGATTCCTAGAAGTCAGTTGTACGAACAGCGCGCCAAGCAGCTCGGTGAGCGATTCGGACTTCAACTCTACCCCGGTGACTGGTATTCCACTGAAGGAGATGCCCTTCGTGTCGAGAAGCCGATCCGAATGCGAGTAAGACGCAACTGCCACCTGTGCAACGCTACTTTCGGTGTAGCCAAGGAATGTCCCAACTGTCAGCATGTCCGCTGCAAGCAGTGCTCTCGTTATCCTCCCAAGAGGACCGAGGCCGAGAAACAGGCAAGTCGCGAGCGAAGAGCCGCCAAGGCCAAGGAACTTGAAGAGAACCCTCCTATTGCCGTCGATTATCGTCATGATGATGGAAAGACACCTGAGCTCAGGATCCCACCTAAGTGTGGCACTCAGGATCTTATCTACAAGAAGCCCCGTCAGCGTGTGCGTAGGAACTGTCACGAGTGCGGTACCCTCTTCACCACGGGAACCAAGCTCTGCGCCAACTGCGGACATATCCGCTGCACAGATTGTCCCAGAGATCCGTAAGTGTTTGACTATCAGCTTTGATTCTATTTGCACCTCCGTGATATTAACCAAGTCAACCCCATGTTTAGTGCCAAGAAGAAGAAGTATCCTTTCGGTTATCCTGGCGACGAATTTGGGCCAAATGCCATCCCCCATCACGAGTGCCACGAATGCAAGACGATTTTCCCAGGTGGCGTGCCCAATGGTACTGCCTGCCAGTCTTGTCAGCATGCCAAGTGCGAGAAATGCCCGCGACTAAAACCCCGACGAGTCGAGCCCCAGCCAGATGCCGATGTCCTCAAACAGGTCGAAGAAAAGCTTGCTAAGCTCAAGGTTGGCGGGTAGACAACGCGACCGGACTGGGAGCAGCTGGCTTCCTAAGGCCTAATATCGCTTCAACGGGGCTCATGGTGGTTGTGCATTTACGATGTTTAGATTTTGAGACCGCTGGCTGCCTTGGGTGCCCGAGCTGGAGCGATAGGCGCATTGTCGTTTACGTGACATTTTTCATGATATCCTTGTCTGTTCTTTTCCAATTTATTTCGCAGCACAGTTGGGAGCGTATAAGCGAGTCTGGGACGAAGCATTTATTGGGGGAGTTCTTGTTTCCGAAGATGAATCTGGCTAAGACGGAATATTTTGGTCATTCCTCGAACCCCGATTTCCGCCTTGCGACTCGAACTTGGAGATTACCGTTACATCTCTTCCGAACCGCTCGAGAGCCATTTTTGTTATCGGGTATCGGTATCGGTGGGTGTCTCCAAGTTCGCAAACAAAAGCAGAAAAAAAGAAAAACGAAAATAGGTTGATGGGCTGTTGCCATCATTCTCGATAGCATTGTCATATTTTCCTGTTCCACAGAGTGTTTTTATTTCCTTCCGGGGCGTCGATATTTTCTGTTTGTGGTCGGTCCTACGAATCCGCACAAGAGGAGGGAAGGTAACGGACAAAGAATAACGATGACCATCTCTTTTTCATTTTGTCCATTTCCTTGGGTTTCTATTTTGTCATTTTCTTTCATTTATTTCTTCCAATCATGCCTACGCGATTACGACACCTTGACTCAGCGCATTGTTTCGACACGCCGTTTCTGTATTGAATTTCACGACCACAATTGCATTGATCTGTTCCGCTGAGCGGCGAGGTTCCGGGCCCGTGGGGGAACAGGGTGGTTACGACACATACGTTTCGTTCCGTTCGTATGGTTTAGAAGGAGCAGGCGAAGAGGGGAGCGTGTAGGGAAGCGGGAGATGGGTGGCCTCACGGTGGGAGGCGGTAATTGCTTCATGGGGGAGGGAGAGAGTGATGGTATCTAGTGGGATTGAGATAGGTTCTTGAGCGTTCAATTAAACAAAAATTTCCGCTCCGTTTCTGGGAATCGCTGTTTTTGGTGGACCGACGAAGATCTCTAAGACTGGTGACCGCGCTGGTTCTTAGCTGGCTTATACTATATACCTGCCCTTCTGATGTCTCTTGTCGCCTTGTGCTTGTCTCCTTCTCCTTTGACTTTCCTCTACTCTTCGGCTTCCGCTCCTCGGCCCTATGGTACGTGAAGGTATAAATGTCTCGGAAAAGGGCAGAAGGGTTGAAACGTCCACGAAGAAGCGAGACGAGAAATATGTTCCTCGAAGAGCTTCTAGCTTGGATCTGCCCGCCAACCAAGAGAGCAAGGGAGATTTGTGCAATTTTTTCTTTCCTTCTGCCTCGTGCCAATCCAATTAGGGGGTTAAGCTTTATTCGATGACACCGGCAGCCCCCACACTAATTGATCAATTGATCCGATTTCCTGGGGAGATGGTGTTCTATCGAAGGGGATGGGCGAGTGGTCGCAGCGTAGGTATGAAGTAGAGTTCCCCTACGCGTTACTTCTTCGTACACTACTTGCAAGAAAAGGGGTGGGTTTACCAAGTGAATGGGACCCTTCGGTCGCTATTTTGGCTTTATGGGCCTATTATGGGTCCGCTCACTCGACAGTGTAATTAGATGGTCGATCGGCTCAGGTGGTGGGTGTCTGTATGGCTCAACAGTCATGGCCTGTTCCAGTGTTTTCTTAAGACCGAGACGGACGAGCTTGGAGGATGACCCGAAGGAATGAGGCTCGCGTGGATTGGTGAGTTCATGAGTTCACAAGATGAAGTACACTACGAAGTCTTACAGCCTGGGACGCAGCCAAGGGGACATCGACAGCGGAAGACGTTGGAGGACGAAGTAGTGAGTACATTCGAACGGAGCTACGAAGTAGATGGAAATAACTTCCCTGACCTAGGGAAGCTAACGTTTGGCTAAAGACGAAGGGAAACCGGGCAGCCCTAGCGTTGGTTGGCGCCTGAATGGTGTGAAAATACAGTACGAAGTATTGATCTCGAAAGACCTACCAGAGTGAAGGGTTCAAGCGTTGCCCCAAGGTAATAATAGTGTACGGCAACATCACATTCGGTTCCAGACCGGCGGTAATATCAGGTCCAGCCAACAGGATCAAAATACGTAATGGATCTTGAATTTCGTTCGCCCCGAGTCTGGGCTCTGACCCGACATAGCTTGGCTGGCGCATACACTACTCCCTCGGCGACCCGAAAACAGCGCCACAGGAACAGATTTATCAATCAATTTCGATATCCCAGCTCCAGGTCGGCTTTCTTCGTTGCTTTTTTCTCAACCACCGGATAGGGGGCAGCGGACAGCGGACAGCTAGGCGGACCTCAAGCTTTCACCGCTCTTCAAGCCCGCCTGGTTTGACTCTTCGCGCTAGCCAAGGGCTGATCGGGGCCGCCTGGCTCGCCTACTTTACGCCCAGCGAGTCGATTCAGCCTTCATCAATGCTGTCAAACGAGTGTACTTCGTAGCCGGTACGAAATACTTCATCGCCGTTCAGTGTGTGCAAATCAAGGATCCCGACCACCCGGTTCTGCGTTCTGCCAGGATCGCCTTGATGTCAGCCCTCCATTTCGGTGGCTTTGTCTTTCCTTTCTTTTTTTTTCTTCCCCCTCTGCTCAGTCTGTTGGGGATCAACTTGGTTCATCGGATTAATAACATCGTGCGCTTTCAGAAGCAGAGACAAGGGTAAACAGGATTTTTTTTAAACCCCGGAACATCCGAAATGAATGTTCCGTGATGAAGACCACCGTTCATCGCCGTGGCTGGCGGGCGTTCTTGAACCAGGAACGATTGATATATCACTTTCTCGACAGCTGATTCGTCGAGACAGCGAATGTTAAATCTCGGCCGCACTTTGTGAAGAGCTGACGAGGCATCGACGAGTGAAGAAGTTCGGGACTCCTTCTTGAATTTGACGATGAGGCGAGAATGAATCCTGGACGACTTGATCCCTGATCCCTCCCGGAAGTCGGCACTGGTCTCGAGATATCAAAAAACACCAATGATACCAAGAATACGTCCGACAACTTGCATCAACAGATACGAAGTACTCCATAAGGAGAGAACCACGGTCCGCGAAGGGAAAATGGCATGTGAAAAATGAGATGTCAAAAGGCACCATTACCTTTTTTTTTTTTTTTTTTTTTTTTTTTTTTTTTCTCTTTCTTCCCTTGTCCAAGCTTCAAAAAGGAACGGGAAGCAAAGAGAGATGCTCCGAGCAACCCCCGCCTAGAAACGTAGCCCCCTGCTCCGAAAAGCTCCCCGGTCTCATCCCAATCCTACGCGGGGAATAAAAGCCGTGTCCCCGGCGTCCTCTGTAACTCAACTAACCCCCTAGGATAGTAAGATTACACTAGAATTACGGGCGGCCGATGGCGAATGTGGCGTGGGCTCCGAAAGTTGCATTTCTTTGTCTCAGAACTTGAATGTAACTCGTCTGTTATACGGCGGATTCGGGGGTGATTTCTCAAAGAAGCAAGTTTTTCCTGCGCGTCCGCTCATCAGAAACGCCATCATCCATGATACCCCCTGACGACAACCCTATCGCCTACGGCGCTTGTCTTAAAAGGAAAAGCAAGACTCCTACACAGAATGCGACCCAGCTCTCGTAATCAGTTTTAAATCTATAAAACAGGGGCCAACGCCAGCAATCATAATCATCTCCGACTCTGGTGAACGAGGGATCGTTGTCAATCCTTCGTCGAACAAGGTTCGGCTTCCTTCTCAAACATCTCTTCGTATTACTTCGTAGTCCCTCTGTCTTCATTCCTGCCCCCCACACGCTTAGAATTGTCTATAAAAGCCTCGGAAAGTGGACTGAGGATCTGAAGTAATGAGATGTAGCGAGAGGGGGTTCGTAATACCGGGGAACTGGGGGCACCCTGCTTAAATTTCTGTGTTTTGCGGAATGCTACTTTCTATCTCCCCGGTGGGGGAGGAAGCCCCTTCGGCACTTCTTGCGATGCGATGTCAATTGCCAGTCGCGATATTACAGTCGTAGTATAATGATGTGTGTGTGTGTGTGTGTTGGATCCGATATAGGGTAGAGAAAACGGCTCATCGCATACCGTTTTGCACCTCCGTAGTCAACCGCGAACGCGAATCAACAATCACCAGTTTAAACTGCAACATCGACGACGAGATATCCGAGAACCCTTCGTAAATTCAATTATCATACAGGTAACAACACATCCTGGATGTATGGCCTGATGCCTCTCCGTTTCTGTTGTGAGATAACGACGACTTGGCAAAGTCCAACAGCCCGACAACGTCTCGCAAGTTTGAAATCCCCCCTTCTCTTTTTTTTTTCTTCCCACAATCACTGAGAGCCACCAACACGAGCATCGGCCGCCACCCCGCCAACACCGGCAGAAACCTCCTCCTGCACATACGGCTCAAAGGCAAACCTGATGCCGTGAGGAATCGAGGGTCCCGCCGTCTCCACCCGGTTCGCTTTCCGAGTGCTAATCTTCGCCGCCCCCGCCGCCGCGTCCAAACGTCCGTTAAGCGCCGGGTACGCCTGCGCCAAGTTCCGAGATTGCACGGCGTCCGTAAAGAGTTGCGGGTTCATGATCGGCGCGAGACGATGAGTCGGGTAAAATCGGCCCTTGACATCTTGTTCGCGGAACCACGCGTTCGGTTGGAGATATCTGTAGTCCACGGGCACATCCGGGGCTACGCTCTTGCGCCAGACGGCTTCCTCGCGTAGGGCGCGTGGTAGGCCCTGTTCGTGGATGCTCTCGCCCACCCCGCCTTGTCCGGTGGGTCCCTCCTTCAATTGGTAGAGCGTTCCCCCGTAGAGAACACCCTGGCCTGGCTGGAGGACGATTGCTTCGAGCCCTAGATAGACGCCGGGTTCGTGTGCGTAGTTTTGCGGGGCGGCAACCCGCAAGGTGTCACCAATCTCGATGCGTTCTGCGCCGAGGAAGACACCCCAGTAGGCGGGCATATCGTTCTGAGACAACTTCGTGAAAAGAGAGTAGGACTGGTCAATCTTAAGTGCAGCCAGCTTCGACGCATCGAGAACCAGGACGCTCAACTCCCCCTTAGGGTTGGGACCGGCCGCTAGACCTTTTATGAATTCGCCCCACGGTATCTCATCGTAGCTACGGCCCTTTAGGTCTTCTCGCATAGGAGGAGGCACAGTGAAGGCGTAGAAAGGCCGCAAGTCCTTGTCAGTTCTACTGACGGGTGGCTGTATGATCATCCCGTGAGCGATGGGTACGACTTGATGCGTTCCGCCGTTTGATTGTACTATGAGACCCAGTCTCCAATTCTGGCCGTTCGTAAACCAGACCAGTTCTCCTGTCCGGAAGAGGAGGGATATCGTCTCCTTGGCTTGTTGGGCGGCCCCCTGCACGGCCAGGCTCGCCACGGGAGTGACGGTCGCCTGCGTCACTGCCGGTTGAGCAGGAGCTGTAGAGGGCGGAGGACGTCCGGGTGCAGTGTTGGCCACGCCTTGCTGGGGAGTGCCGTGGGCGGGGGCAGCGGCGAGAGACGCTGTGACGGAAGGCGCCCTCGATACCGCACCATCTACTTGGGATAGTGGGGTGGGTTGGGCAGGGACACTAGATACAGCGGTGGTGGCCGGAGCTGGTGCGGGTGCAGCTTTCGTCGCCGTAGTAGCCGTGGGAGCTCCACGAGGTTGGGCAGTGGTCTTTGGTTTCACAACGACAAGCTCATCGTCGGCGCCCGTAGCACCCTTCGCAACTGGGAGGATATTGCAATGGATACAACAGCAGTCCTTCCGGTCGTCAGAATTTCCAAGGAGCCAAAGAAGATGAAGGCCAAACTCTTGGGGCGTTCTAAATAGCTTGCTCTTGTTCGGGTATCCGGAAACCCAGAGGACCTTGGATCTCTCGTATAACCAGTATCCCCGTGGGAATTCTACATACCACGGTAATCCTTCTATACCGGAGAAATGCCTTGGGTCAGCATATGTTGCGATCAACTCATCCCATGACGAACGTACCGTGCGGTTCTGGGGATATCTCTTGCTTGAGTAAAATACCCAGCTTTACCCTCCATTCAACAAATCGCGGGTCGTCCGCCTCGAGACGGACCATTTGTGGCTTCGCCCTCGTCACCTTCTCAAGCCCATCTTTGGTTGTCTTCTTGGGAGCCTTGGCGGGTTCGACTATGGGCCAATATCCAGGACCGGTGTCGCAGCCATCGCTTCGACGGATTTCGAGGACGTGATATTCCACTTGGCCAGCCATGGTTGCGGCCCAGGGATTTAGGCCCGGACTCGGAGGTGAGGCGACTCCGGTCTTTGTTTCCCTGGCTCAATCCGGGAGTAGAAAAGGTGAGGGCTGAGTCGATGCGAGGTGGGATCGCCGGAGAATGAGATGTCTGATAAACGCGGGTGGCGTAGTATCTGCGAAACTAGACACGTTTCGGGAGCTCTTACTTGAGCACTTGATGAGGATGGCACCAGCGAACTAGCAATCTACTAGCAGCACGGGTACCGCTATATATATATATATAGTTCCCCAAGGTTTCCAAGGTTAATAAAATGCAGGTAGCCCGGGGGTGTGTGGGAAGCCAACTAATGCTAAGGTCCTTGATGAGTCGGGAATGAGATGTGAGTCTGGCTCGAGATGTTGGCTTGAGATGTGGGTTCTTTGAAGTGAGGGCTACTGTGTGTTCCTGATGCTAAGACAAAGCCAATCTGGGGGGGAAATCAGCAGTCTTCACATTATTTTCGCGACTTGAAACTGGGACTTTTAGAAAGCCTTTAGCAACAGAGACATCGTTATTGCTCTCATTGATTTTGGCAGGTTGTTTTGCCCTTTCTTTTATTATTGTTCCTCCCCTGGCATTTTCGCCGTGGTTGAGATGATGTTGCTGCTTAGTCATCAAGAGCTCTCTTCAATTGTGCCTCTCCTCAAAGAGCCAAAAAAAAAAAAAAAAAAAAAAAAACAATCATCAACATCTGCAGTTACGATTTTACAATTATACATATTAGACACGCCAAAGTGTGTCTTTATTATGTAAAGTTCTATATCAAGAAGTTTTACAGATGTGTGAATCCAAATCCCGTCAAGTATGCTAGTCCTCCCTAGATGTTGGCTGGAATGAGATCCCATGAGCCCTCGAGGTCAACATCGATATATTCCGCGCCGTTCCCTCCCTAAGCTCCCCGGTGCTGGGTATCGGTAGCACGCCAAGAGTCGGCGATAACCGTGATGATCAACTGCAAAGGGGAAGAGCCCGCAGCGCCTTCATAGAGGACGGCAATGGATGACCAGACTTGAGCACACACAGGACTGGTGGTCATTGCGTTTTATTCCTTATTTTGGCGATGGTGCTGGTTCCCTCCGTCTCGTCTCCCTTCATCTTCGCCCCAGCAGCCTCGCTTGGGGGCTGGCCGGGCCATCGGCCATCATTATTTGCTCTAAGCTCGTCTCTAGATGTCTCTCGCAGCCTGCAGGCGATGGTCTCGGCTGAGCAGGAAGATGGTCGGCCAAAACGGGCTGGATTCGAATCAATGGATGCCTTCGAGTGGGATATCATCCCCGAGGACCGGTCATCCTGACCACTGCAAGAGACTGGCCATTTGTGGGTTCTAGGTTCGGACGCTGGCTTTCGGGTGCCTCGTCGCCGACTACATCGCTTTCGACGATGACATAACGGCAGACGACTACGGTAGAAAACCCAGGATAAGTCCTCCGACTGAGCCGGGGACGACGGACGTCACCTCCTGTGGTGGAATCGAGCGCCTAGGACTGAAGCACGAAATCTACCAGCAAAAGCGTGAAGACTTCTTTGAATATAAGGCGAAGATGGCTTGCTTTATGATTGCTGTGGTCGACACCATCAGTCCGAAGATTGGGATTATACTGTCCCAGTCCGAGACAATAGGGTCGTTGATCGGAAAGCTCAAAGCAAGACTCATAGGCGACCTCTCGCACACAAAGTTCAGTCTTGAGATGGAATGGGACCGGCTACTGGCTCGGAATTTGAGGAGGACCTCGCTCAATGGGTGGATGAGGAAGGTCCAGGACCACTATTACACCATGACGGAACTCGGATGTGCGAAGGTCCAGGGAGAGGCCCCATTCAAGGCCTTTTGTGAGGCCATTAAGGCATATGACCGAGATGCAGGAATGGGGGCCTATTACAGACTCATTGATATTCTCTGCTCCGAGAAAAAGGCTAACTGCGATTCCTTGGCCGCTCACTTCAATTCCTTCATTACCAGGTGTATCAGACTTCTCGAGATTCATATAAGGTCCAAGCGCAGTCGCAATCACAATCACAATAGGAGGAGTCATGGGCGTAGCCGCGGGCTTTCACGGGGAACTGGCCCACGAGTGCCTAACCCTAATAGCGACGTCCACCCTAGTGCGTCCCGTGGGAAGGTAGAAATATCAATTGATCAATTTTGACAGTCGGCATTAGAATCGAGGACATCGATGGTATGGACAAAATCTAGCTATGCCTGCAATCCCTCAATCTGGAGGACGGAGAGAGCCAGCTGCGGCCGTGGGAGAGACATAGTGTGATTAATTGCTGTTTGAGAAGGTTTAAATAGGGCTGTACGTGTCATCCATACCGTGCAGATACCGCTCGATACGGTGCAGTGCACATACCGCTGGTGTTGCACTGATGCAATCAACTGTGCTTGTGTTCTGGATTTGCCCCGCCACCCAGAAGCAGGAACGCGTCGAAGAACAACCAAAGTGAACTGCCACGCCCGCCTTGGGTTCATTGACACCCTGGCTATCCTTCGATTTTTTCGATTCGTCTCCCCATTCCCGACCCGCCCAAGACCTCTCTCATCATGGAGGTAGACTACGAATACAACGACACCAACAGGGCCTTCCTCCAAGCCCTCATGGGCCGTGGGTTTGTCACCTTCCGAGACGGGCAGGAAATCATCGCCGCCATCCAAACTGCCTCGGGAGTCGAGGACGTCAAGCCCGACCACATCACGCAGGGAGACTTCGACTACTTCATCAACATCGCCTCCGAGGCCGTTTCGCACTTCGATTACCAGGTTCGCAGCACGGTGCATCAGGGCAATAAGACGCGCGTGTGGGCCCTCGTGAACACGGCGTCGGACCCCGCCACGCAGCTCGCCACGACGTTCACGGCCGACGAGATTTCCTTTATCAAGCGCGTGCTCGACGCCATTTTCGACACGTACAATACGCCGCGCATGGAGAAGATGTGCGTGACGATACAGGAGGCCATATCGCTAAGCCGACCGCCCCGAAACGCGAACAATCCCAACGTCAGCCTCGTCGACGGCGAGGAGTCCCAGGCCGTCTCTACGGACAAGGGCTTACGGCACAGCGACGTCAATAGGGTCATGGAAGAGCTCGTGGCGGGCGGTTGGCTTGAGAAGAGCCACGAGGGTTTCTACAGCGTTGCGCCCCGCGCACTCATGGAGCTGAGAACCTGGCTGCTCGATACGTACAATGACGCGGATGCGCCAGCTGATGAGTGGCAGCGCATCAAGATGTGCGAGGCGTGCAAGGAGATCGTCACCTACGGACAGAGATGCAACGAGAGGGATTGTCTGGCGAGACTTCACGATATTTGTGAAGAGCGATATTGGAGAAGTAGACGAGCCAGGACATGTCCGAAGTGTGATAAGGGCTGGGAGGGGAACCGATTCGTCGGTGAGAGGGCAGTTACTTCTACGAAAACGTACAGGCAAGCGAGAGGAAGGGGCAGGAAGAGCAATACTCTCGCGAGCGACATATTCAATAATGCGCAAGAGGAGGAGGTCGAGCAAAATGACGATTCGACGATGGACGAAAATTAAGGGAAGAACAAAAGAAAAAGAAAAAAATGAGGAAAGGACGGGACGGGACGGGACGGCCTGTAAAAAAGGAGCAAAAGACAAAAATTCAGTGATACCCCTCAAGACTCGACTTCTTGAGAATTGATATAATTTCGAATAAGTTGTGCGGTCATGGTGGCGGAGTCAAAGTATTGCAAGGAGTCATGAAGTAATCATGGCCTCGTACACAATTTTGTGTGAGATTTGCGCTGGTAAATGATGATTGACTGGCTTGATATTTGATCAATTGGTCAATCGGAGATCGCCTGGTATTGGTATCTTTCGGAGTTAGTTTCAGGGGCCTTGTTACGCCCATGTTCAGCTGAGGCTGCGATGGCGCTCGTGACATCATGGATAGAGTTCAAGTGGCGGCCTCCAGTTCGGTTGCCTGCGCAAACATTATCTTCAATTAGATTCCCTAGTTCCGTCTTCCATTCTTAAGCCCGCATCAAGCAACAATCGAGCATCTTCATCGAATCACCTTTCCACATTTACTTCCCCGGTCATTCTTAGAGGCACCGATTGCCAATCACCAACTTGATACATATCCTCCGCCTTTTCTTAGGTCCCATCTCCCACATCCATCCCCCTCCTCAACAAATATCCTCGCCAACCCTCACCGCACCGGACCGCTCTTCGTTCGAACCGCCCCGCCACGATGCTCGAATACTTCGCCTACAAAAAATACAAGAAGCACAAGGCCGAAAAGGACGAGAAGAAAGAAGACAAAGGCAAAGCCAAAGAAGAAATCATCCACAGCCCCGTCCTCGAACCCGACGACGAGAGCTTCCTCGAGTCGCTCGCCTCCGACGAAGGCCCCGCGCCGCCTCTGCCCCCTCGCATCAAGACGCCCGAAATCACATGGGATTCGGACGATTTCAGCCGTCGCTCGGGAGAGATCTCCGACAGCTCTGTAGGATCGGCCGCAGTCGCGGACGAGGGGGATAAGGACAAGGGCAAAGAGAAGGAGAAGGACAAGGACAAGAAGAAGCGGTTCTCAGTTATTCCCTTCTTCGGTCAGCAGAAGAAGAAGCAGGGCCCTACGTTGGCGCCGCCGGCGGATGCCTCGAAAGCTGAAGTGGATCGCGAAGAGCGGGATATTAGTCGCATCCTGCGAAGTCTTCACCTCACGACCGATAGCTCCGACCGCGTCGTCTCCCTCACGCCCGATGTAGCGAATCTAGCGAAGCGCTTTACGCAGGTGCTCAAGGATCTGGCGAATGGCGTGCCGACGGCGTATAGCGACCTCGTATCTCTAATCGAGGACCGCGACGGGCTGCTCGATCGCTCGTTCGAGAAGCTGCCTTCGTCGCTGCAGAAGCTCGTCATGCAGATGCCCGATAAGATAACCGCTTCCCTGGCCCCCGATGTACTCAAGGCGGCGGCGGCTGCCCAGGGCAAGGAGGTGATTGTCGAGGGCGGAGGACTGAAGGATGCGGCTATGAGTCTGTTGACTGTCAAAGGGTTGCAGGAGATGGTGACGAAGCCGGGAGCCATTGCGGGCATGTTGAGGTCGATTGTCAACGCGTTGAAGTTGAGGTTCCCCGCGTTTATCGGGACGAATCTGCTGTGGAGCGTTGCTGTGTTCTGTAAGCTTTTTTCTTTTTTGCCCCCTCACCCGTGGAACCCAATGACGGCCTGTATGACGATAGAAGCTAACTAATGGGGACGTAGTACTCCTCTTCGTGCTCTGGTACTGCTATAAGCGCGGCAGGGAAGAGCGCCTCAAGAAAGAAGCCGCCGAAGGATCAAAGAAGGGAGGAGATGTGGACAGGCTGAGCGTCGAGGAGGTCCGCGAGGGCGAGGGCGAATCGTCGCGTGCGGGGGGCTCTGGGTCACACACTCTGAACCCTGTTCCGGTTGTGACGGAACCGGACGATGAGCCTGCAACGGTCCCATCTCAGGGACCTGCTCGGATTGGGAACTAAACAAGGGAGGATTTTTAAAGTTGATATGGTTGACGATGTTAATGAAACCGGATACCTTATTTTTCGGGACATGGATAATGAGATAATAAGCAAAGGCAACATGTGTGGGAGAAGTATGGCACACCTTGTATAGGTTCGTTGGGTATTTGGTTTCTACCTGTGTAATAGCATGTTTGGATAACTTTACATAGCTAGCTAGTTCACTCTGGAATCCCATATTCTTATAGCTTCGCCTCTCGTATCGTATCTCTCTCTCTTTCCCGTAAAGCACTCCATTTTATCATCGATTTCCGGGTATCTCAATATCTGTCCGACACAAACATCGTCCATCCATAAAATCAACATATCACCAGTCTCAAGGTTCTAATCGTCCTGAACAAGCTCCTTAATCTCCTCCTGCTCAGGCACCACAGCAACACTACCAACTTTCCCCTCTCCACCCTTGGGCACATTCCTCGGACCACCATCCTGCAACCAAAAGTCCACCTCGTCAACAATGTCATAAATGACATCTTCAACAACCTGCTCCGCATACCGCTGCGACACGGGACGCAGCCGATTCAACCTCGGTCGCACCTCGCGCCCGTTCGTGGCCTTGCCGTCATCGTTCTCGACCCCCACCATGTCGACCTCGTCCTCGTCGTCGCCCGCGCCTTGGTAACCCGGGGGTGGGTACCAGAATTTGGGGCCAAAGTTGACCTCGGCGGCGCCCATGCGGAACACGCTCACGGCGGGGTAGTAGCCGAGCATACCGTCGTCGAGGCCCTCGCGCGCGCCGGGCTGAGATTGCGGTTTCGACGCCGGTGGGAGGAAGGCGAGGAGGTCCTCGAAGGGGGTGCCCACCAGGACACCGTTTTTGTAGACTTTGATGTAGGAGCCCGGTAGGGTGCGTAGCGCCGGAGCGGGGTGGTTAGGGTTGGGTGGTATAGAAGGGCCCGATACAGCCGGACTGGGGTTCATGAGGTCTTCGAGGTCCTTAGTGGTGTGGTAGTCGATCTTTTCAAAGTAGAGATGCGACTTGAATCGGATGGGAATGCGGTCCCTGACGATATTCGGAGCTGGCGCGAACGGGTCTGGCTCCTCGTCCGGGTCGTCCACGACGGGGTTATAGTCACCTGCTAGGACCTTGCGCTGAAGCTGTTCCGAAGGTAGCTTAATCTCGAGGCCGATGACGTCCCCTTCGCAAATCTCCTCGTCCGGAGGGAAGAACGACTTCGGACGCGACATGTGCACCTTGTGGCCCTGCTTGTCCCTGATGCCGTAGCTATAGGCATCGAATCCAACGGGCGCATCTAGGGATGCCTCGCGCCTCGCGAATCCAATTCGCACGTGGCCATTCGAAGTATTCGGTTCGCCCTTCTTCGTCTTCACAATGCCGTTGGTAATCTTGCACTCCCAGTACCAACGGCCTTCACGGACAGCGACGTTGGCTCTCGCCATGCGGAACCCTTTATCGGTAGTGATGTGGTGGCCGGTATCGTCGAAGTACATGTGCGTCGCGGCATCTTCGAAGCTGATATGCGGTCCCAGAGGCTCGGGTTCGGTCTGGCGATAGTAAAAGGACGAGGGGAACGCAGGGTCCGCAATGCAGTGCGTGTAGTGAAAGTTCTTCTTATTGTAGACACTTGAGAAAGGGAAGCGCAGTGTTAGTATACCACTTACTAAAACAATGATCACGCACAGAGTTGGGCATTCCCCCCCAAACTTACTGATCCGACGTCTCGTAAAACTGAACCTTCTTCCTATCCTGCTTCACAAGCTCATGATGCGGCGTAAACACAGGCCCCTTAGGCGGCTCGAAATCCGAAGGCCGCGGCGGCGCCAACTTGTATCTCAGCGGCGAGCACGTATTCGGGTCCACCACCACCGTCTGCGCGAGCTTCGGATCCGGCGTCGCGCGACTGCTCCCGCCGTCGATGCCCTTGGATTCGCGCTTCTTCGCGGACTCCTTCTTCGTCCTGGCTGGCTTGTCCCGCGGGGCCATCTCGTCTGTCGCCGGCGTTGGGACCTTGGAGGGTTTTACTTCGGGATTGAGCGGCGAGGGGACACTTGGGGCGTGGGCTTCGTCGTGGGGGCGTTTCTGGGGGATGGAGGAGAGGGGAGGGTTGGTTGGGGTTTGTTCCCTTTTGGGGGTGATTTCTCTTTCTAGATCCATTGTGATTGGAATCTGAGGGAAGCGGAAAAAGTGTGGGAGACTGAGATGTGAGACACGATTGCTGAAAGTTTGCGAGTGCTGTGCTGCTGTTCAATTGCTTTTGAGGAAGGGATGAAGGGAAGATTTTACAGTTGTCGCGACTCTGACGATGCACGCGAAGTGAGAAAGTGATCCAAGCTCCTTCCTCAACCACCAATCCCCGCCCCCACCATGACCGAGTCCATCGACAAAGTCAAGGCAGTTTCCAGATGCCAGGAACAACTGTCATTCTACTTTTGCATGATCGAGTTGATGAGTTTTTGATTTACAATATATATTTTTTCATTGGAGAATTTTAAATATAAAGTCTATAACATCTCTTCCCAAAATTGCAAAACAAAGAGAAATAAAGGGAAGACCCATGGTCTATGTCCTCAACTCTTGTCTACCAAACTCCAACACCCAAAAAAATATCCTTCTTTGGACATGTACAACATCAGATGCATACTAATACACAAGTCTATCGCTCCAGACTATGTCGATAAAGACTCTAGGTGGTCGTCGAGCAAAACAACACACGAGGGGAAAAAAAGAAGAGGAGAATGGGAGGACGTCTAGATTGGCCGAGCCAGAGGAGCGCTGCTTTTATAGCGCGGTTTCCTCGTCCGGCATCCAGACCTGTAGTTGTCGTAATAATCGTTGGTACAAGAAAAGCATGCAACCGCTCTGGATGAACGTCCACACGCCACGTGGGCCAACACCTCTGAACCATCCGCCTATGCCTTCGGTCTGGTATATTACGCGGAGCCCGGCGAAAACAGAAGAAGTCTGGAGGTTGATCGCGCCCGGTCGAGGCGTATGGGTGGAAGGCGAGGACGTGGAAATAGAGCGCTTCTGAGTATTGGTGGGTGCATGGACTCCTTGCATCGGGATGGGTGGTTGCTCGGGAATATTAGGGTTGAGTTGAGTCTGTAGTCTCGTCTTGACTACGTCTAAGGGGCAAGTGATGACGCCGGCGAGGCCACCCGCTGTGGCGCCAGTCAAAAGTTCGAGGGGAGCGCCGATATCTCGACTTTGCTTGTATTGTCTCGCCCAGGCGTGGAATTGTTCCCAGAACATGAACTGAAGCGCAGAGAAGGGGAGGTCTCGGCAGAGGGTGGCCTTGTAGCCGTAGAACAAGGCAGAAAACCCTTCGTTGCGAACAATTGTTCTCGCCGCATCCATGGTTCCGCGGTAGTTGTAGCCCGAATGGAAGTAAGGATTGTTATATCGACCCTGCAATTGGAGGCGAGTTTTGAGAACTTCGGATGGGACATAGACGATCGATGCAGCAAGGTCGCCAAGAAATCCTGCGGAAACCAAAGTCAGCTATGCAGTCGGATGATGTCAGGGCTCTATACCGCGGGATAATGCATACCGGCTGCGAGATAGGAGATATGTTGCTGGACACCGTGATCTATGAGGAATCGCTTGCTCCACTCGTATGTGCCGAAGAACATGACAGTACCGGGGAAAGAACCGAGGGCAGCAGGAATCCATCCTCCGTACAGGCCTCTTCGTAATCCTTCCTGTTGCCATATCTTGTAGTAGGACGAGCCAAGCGATGTATACTTGGGTGGGATATGTGGATCGCCCTGTTGCCGTGTCTTTACGGTATCGAGAGAGTGCATTAACAAGTCTCCGGTACAGCCGCCAATACCTCCCGCCAACATAGCCTGCAGAGAAGTCAAGTCAGTAATCTCGACATTTCGTAACCCGGATGTCCCGATACAAAGCGAACCCGCCCTGCAATCGCTGGAAATGGAGGAAATCCTTACGTGAGTGTAAGGCGGCCGCCCCTCGGACTCGACGTCTTGGCCGCCCGTCATATTATGACCGATGGAATGGCCCCCGAAGCTAATATCCTGCAGCGCACGCGTTCTCGCCGCATGGTCATCCACCACCGAGAGGAGAGCAGCTGTCGCTTGCGAGCCAGCGACCGATTGAGAGACTGGGATCGGGCTAAGGTTCGGATCCACCACTAATTGGGTGGTCGTTGTGGTCGTCGTCGTCGTGGTCGAAGTAGAGTTGGGCACCTGGCTCGCAAAGGACATCGCAGGTTGTCCGCGGAAGACGGCGGGCAAAGTTGTCCTTTTCGGCTGTTTTTATTTTCTGGAAAAGTAACGATCGTCTGTGGCACGCGCGAGACGGCCGTCTCGTCCTAGCAACCGGCTAGCTGCCCAGTCGGGAAGGCGAGGTCGCGGTCAGGATATTGGGGGGGTGCGTGAGGTGTAATAATGCTGAGCGTTGATAAGTCCACACGATTTGATGAAGGAGGAAAAAAAAATTGTCGCCTGTGAGTGTCGACCGTGGTTGCCCGAGTCGGACTGGTCCGTGCCCGAAGCACTGTGCTCCGTTCAACCAGTCGAATGAGACGGGAATTCAAGTACGGTCCAGGCCCAGCGGCGAGTCGAGACTATCAATTGACGAATTTTGTCCCGTATCTGCGGATTGGACTTATTTTAAAATATAAATCGGGTATTAGGTGGGATACATTTCACAGTTCCCCAACTGTATGAGTAGAGTATGACAGATAAGGGGTTTGTGATTGTGACCACTCTACGAAGTAGAAAACCACCTCTTCATACATCCAGGATCCGAAGGGTCCGGTTTGATGAGGAGGGTTAATAAGAAACAGGCCTCACCTGCAGAGCCTGTAGAGAGAAGGGAAAATAAACTCAATATAGCCTTAGAATCTAGAATTCACACAAAGCAGGAGGGCATAATTTGATTCATGACATGTCCTAGTCTATAAGCAAACCGTAGGAGCCTTTTCCAGTCTATAATAACCACAGTTGAATATACACACAACCATTCGAGCATGATCAGGAAAGATAACCAGTCCATACACCATACAACTCAGTGGCCCCACGGCCTCCTATATTCCGGTCCCGTCCTTAGGCGATACTCCCACCACTTAATCTTTCCAAACTTCTTCCATGGGTATAATATATGCGTTAACCGGCCCGTTACCAGTCGAACGGAGATGGGTCCATAAGCATTGCTATCGAGAGATTCTCGGTCGTTACCCGCATCGCCTTCTACCCATATGTGGCCCTTCGGCACACGTATCGCATCGTAGTGTTGCGCATGACGCGACCAGACGAGGTCTCCTTCGAGGCCGACGATCCGCTTCACGGCAATCTTGTCGGGATCGAGGGGTGATCTGTGACATTGGAAGCGTTCGAGTTAGCCAATGGATCGACTAGAGAAAGGGGCATCGTGGAATGATGGTCTCAAATTGGAACAGAATCTAGCATACTTGAACGTGACTATCATGCCCCTCGAGAGCCCGAGGTGGGGATAAAGCTTCCAATTGAGGCAAACGTCACTCCGCAGGGTAGAATCTTTGTCCCCGTTCAGAAACGGGTACATAGACCCCCCCTTTATAAACGTGACCTCGGCGACAAATGCATTAAAGCAAATGGCAACCGGAATCCAAGTCGCCCAGCTTACGAGTCGTCGCGAGAAGTCCAGGAGGAAGGGGCCGCGGCTCCTCCATGCCGACGACGCTGCCATGGAGGACCTATGTTAGGGCTCGGGTGAAATTGGCCTTCGGGGATATGGGTCTAGCGTTCCAACCCATGAGGTGCCTTGAGACCTGATCTAGCGGTGCATTGGGATCCAGTCGTGGATATTTTCTTGAACATTGAAGTCGGGAGCAACTGCAATAGTTCCTGCAGGAAGAGGTCACGCCACATCCAACCTTTGCGCCACATAGTGTAAACAGAAGAATTAACTGTGGACTAGGGTAAATTGGCTGTTCGGTAGACAGTGTGTAATTCAAGGGTGCTTGTGGCGTTTTGCGGCTTAAGTTGAGAGGAAACACACGCCCGCTTCTACCATCAAGTCACGAACATTAAAACCAGAATGGACAAGCATCCGTTGCATAACCTATTCGGAAGATGCTCTCCCCGTTTAGCTCACACCAGTTCGGAAAGAGGATAACCATGAAAATCCGCCATTGACTTTTTAACAAAAACTGGGCCTGCGCCATACCACAAAACATTCAGAGCACTTTTAGCCGACAACCTCCAGGAACAATGCTATGCCAGAGGACACGATCCCCCATAATTCTTCCTCATTCAGCGATCCCCTTGCTGTGAGCACATGTGCAACCGAACCGCCTGCCCTGTTATATAACCCCCCCTTTTCCTTTTGGCCATGCAATCCCCCCATGTATATGGTGCCAGGACATTACAGAATCAGGAACCGCTGCCATGCTTCGGGCGTGGCCCCTATCAAATGCGTTTTCGCTTCTCTCGAGTTTTTCCGGATATGGATTAAATCGCATCAGGCGCATTGTCGTCGCTTTCGCTGACACTCTCATCTCCGCTAACCTCCGCATTCTCCCTCTCCCTCTTCTCCATAAGCGCTTGCAGCTCGGCGTCGTCGCTCTCGGTAACGGCCTTGGGCTCCATCTTCACCTCCAACTTTCCTCCCGCAGCCTCGATGCTGGTCCGGACATCGACGATGGCCTCCTCCAGTCGCTTGATACCCTCGTTCTTATCCAAGCAAGTGCTGGTCATAACGTATAGAGGCGGTGATACCAGGCGAACCTTGACCTGCGTCTCGGGGGTGTCGCGTGCCTCGGCTTGAGAAAGTGCCGTCTTGATCGCGTCGATTCCATCGTACCCGAAGCAGGTAACCTCGACGTCGGCTCGGACCTTGGTTGGTTGAGGAGTAAGGCGCTTTCCAATATAGGACAAGAGCTCCTCCTTTACAGCGTTGCTAGGGAAGGTGATGTCATTCCATACGTCGGGGTTCCTGTGTGGAGGAGGGGGATGTTAACAAGCACGTCCGGAAGAGACACTCGAATGTTGTGTTGTTGTACTCACGTTATCGAGATCTTGAAAGCATCGATAGCATGGCCATATTTCTTGTTCAGAGGCCAGCCGATGGCCTTGTAGAGATCCTCGATGGGGGTCTCGGTCTTCTCGGCGACATGGCGCATGATGGAGTGCACCATCTTGCCCTTGTTGTATCGCTCTTCGCATTTTATGACATCCTCAGTGGAGACTCGGCGCTTGGAAAGATCAATGTATCCTATCACAGAATATACCCCGGTCAGCTGCTATACTGCAGTGGGAAAGGCGGGCGAGCGAGCGGCAACCGGCTCAGTATTGGCTGGCTGGGTGCTGGGCGGGAGGTGCACTAACCCTTCTCTTTGTCAACTCGAAGAACCACTACGACTTCGTTGCGACCCACGCGGATGAGCTTCTGGATACTCCGAATGCGTCGCCTCGAAAGTTCGGAGAGGAGAATCATGCCATCGATGTTGTCGTACTCGAGGAGTTTTACGTAGGCGCCCATCTCGGCAATCTGTATATCTCAAGTGGTTAGGGCATTAGGAGCTTTGATTGGATGTTGGCTTTGTGTTTGCTGGTGTCTTGTCATACCTGCTTCACATTAACCATGACGAAGCTATCGATCTCCGGATACTTCTCCTCGTAGAAACGGCAGTTTGTTAAAGACATCTCGGCGGTTGTAGGTTGACGTCGACACGGGCGTTTGATGTTCGGTCGGTTAGAATAGAGAGGTTAAGAGGCGGGGTTGCTTTGCCTGCGGTCGTGAGGGTTGACAAGGCCTGAAGTTCGCGATGCGAATACGCCGGAATAATCGCAGATATTATCGGAATAATCTAGGGAAAGTTTTATTTGGCCTGAAGAATATTTGGTACACAGGTGGATTTTATAGGAAACCAGTCGCCAAGGTGAGAAAACCAGGGTGAAGTTTGGGGTGAGGTGCCTTACGTCGATTTGGGTGGGATGGTCGTGGAGTTTGCCTGCTAGTAAATAATTTTTAACCAAGAAACTCGACATCAATGGTGGGGTGAGTGGCAATGAAGTGGTGGGCAGGTGGCAGAATGCCATATCCAGCTCTGTGGGATTGACTCGATCTTATCTTATCAGCACGTGCTAGCCCTTAAGCTGTTCAACGAAGTACTTCCATGTAGAAAACACCCAACTAAGGCCCAAATACGCGAGCTATCGCACTCTTACAAATCTTAGGAAAATAAATCTAAAATTACATATTATCTGAGAGGGGCATTTCGCAGCGATTCGGTGCACCTTTCTCCTCGCAATGGCTGACTCCAAAGTAGCTGTCAGGGTTTCGTTAGGACTGGAGCTGGAGAATGTGGGTAATATCGGCGGGTTCACTTGTCGCGTCAAATTATCATGGCAACGATGACTCAACGTGAACCTTCCTGATTCTGTTCAGCTAATCTCCCGGTTAAATTACGGTCCGAGGCGTCTGAGACGGAATTTTCCAACCTTCGTCGCGAGGTCTGAATCGGACCTGACACAACATCACCTTGGTTCCTACTATTGTACATGACCTCTCACGTACGGCCCCCTAACTCAGGTTCATTGGAAACCTAGCTTCCTATAGATTCAAAGTTTTCCCGGAGCATCTTCTTAGCCACAGCTCGGAAGCTTCAACCTTTATCTTTGTTCATTCCGTCTCTAACAGTTCTCTTCGACCTTAAAGGACCTCGACGCCTTCTCAACTGTGCAAGAAGTTCTTGATTGCACAGTACGCGGCTCATACTTGGCAGAGGTTCGACTCTCAGCTTCATGCAACAAGTCTTCCATCAATCTTCAACCCAGACGACGACATCATCACGGAGCACTAGCGCGACCTCTCCTTCCTCTCCCAATCATGGATTCCAGGCAAATCATACCCCGGACTCAGCTTCCCAGCTGCATTCCCCAAACCCTCGAAGCCCATCCGTTACCTCTGATGCGGCCTCAGGTGTTTCTGGCGAAGCATGGCTTGGCGGCATCGACATCGAGAATTTCAATGAACGCCTTCGCAGACTAAATGTTGTGGATCGCTCTCCGGGGGGACAACGTCGTGCTCTTGGACAACGCGTCTCCGAACATGAGAATGCTCTCGTTCCCGTAGTCGCTACTCCAAGACGCCGCGTAGGCTTCAAAGTCATTAAACGCGTCGGCGACGCCCCTCCTGACGGGCCCAAGATTACGGATTTCCCAAATGGTGAGCGAGAATTCAATGCTGGTCTAGCTTGTGAGTTTCTATTGCTGACCAGTCCCTCACCTCTCCCTGTGTAGAGGTCTTGACCCATATCCTGTCGTATCTGCATCCCGACTCCTACGCCGCCATGGCTCTCGTCTCGAAGCAGTTCTACACATTAGTCAAGACCCCTCATGCTTGGAAAATAGCGTTCCAGCGACTGTATTCCAACAAGTCGTCGGTCCTCGCTGCCGATGACGACTTTGACCCGGTCTGGGAGGACCAAGGAAATGACGTCACTCCCAGCAATCTGCGATATTTCACGCGCTTGACAGGCAATGCAACCTGGCAAAGTGAATATATCCTGCGCAGCCAGCTCCTTCGCGGCCTTGTGAACGGCCGCCCATCAGGCTCTGTCGACAGCTCCGGGCGTCTCGTAAAGAGGTTCAATGCTGTTTTGACGTATGACTCGAGGATTCCCTGCGTGGTAACCAACATTTACGCAGATTTCACCAGTCAGAAGGGCCCTCAAAAAGTAATCCATGGCGGTGCCGATCTTGGCGTCGGCTCCATGAGCAATCCCATGACAGGCAAAATCGACAAATGGGGCCTTGCTGATGTCCATACCCTCGCTCAAGTCGAGGAACTTTTCCCGACGTTGCCCTTGTACGGTGTTGCGGAAGGCCCAGCGGGATTGCCGAATGTCATGGACGTTAGTCCGACGTACGGCTTCATCGTAGGTGAAGGATTTCCGGGGGGATATCCTTACTTCCGGCCCAGTGTTGGGCACCGTGCAAGATATGTCGATCATGGCATTCAGCCAGCGTCCGCTTTCGCCGAAGTACCTGCTCCCTCTGCGGACGAAGCCATCTCAAGTGTCTGGATTGCCAAGTATAGCAATGTTCCTATGCTGACCCACACGATGGTTGGAATGATGACCGGGTCCACCACTGGCATTATGACGTCGTATTCTCTGGGTCGTGAAACCGCTCGTCGAAGGTTTCAGGATGGAGATATGGCATGTCGGTGGGCTCTGAGCCCCGGGGTCCCCATCATTGCCCTGAAGGTCGACGAGAACTACACATTTGCTCGACGGGCTGCCGGCCGAGTGTGGGCTGTTGCCCTCAATGCCCTGGGTGAAGTTTTTTACCTCAAGGACATCCCCGAGCCCGTCGGCCGATCCGTGGACGAAGAGAATATGGTTCGAAATGCGTGGTTGTCTGGGAGATCCGTTGAATGGCATCTTCTAGAGTCTACCCGCCGCAAGCCTCGGTCTCAATATGATCAGAATGGCAGCCCGATAGCCGAACCTACCCTCAGAGGGCCTCGCTCTTCCTCCAACTTCATGAATCTCAGCACCGAAGACTGGGAAAGTGAGGCTCTTGGTATCGGTCAATGGAGCAGCCGTCGGCCAATGCACTTTCGAGATACCTATCAAGGTTGGGATATGCGAAGGCGACTAGAGGTGGACTTTGCCGCCGATGATGGTAATGACGCTGGTGAGGCCATCTTTGTAATTGATTGCGGTTATGGCAAAGATCAGCCTGCCCGTGTCCAACGGTATGCTAGGGCGTTCTCGCAAGGTGGTCCACGCACCACTACCAAGTATTCAGCAAAATCTCGCGTTTCCGGAGCCGATACTTGGTCAATGACTGCGGCTTCCCTTCGCTGCGATTCACTTATTCGAATTACATCATCAGCGCTGGACACGTCCAACTGTGCTCTCTCAACTCTGTCTGAGGACCCCCTTGTTGCCCTCAACTCAAAAGCCTCGGCGTCCTCAAGCACCACAGCCGACCATGCCGAGATACCTGGCGACAGAGCCCGGCTCTTAGCAGTAGGCACTGACAAGGGTACTGTAATGATCTGGAATGGCCGAGATCCCAGTAGTTCAAGTCTGTCTTTGGTCAAGCTCATCCACACCGACTCTCCTGAGGTCTCCTCCCTAGCTCTGACAGCTCTGTATCTTGTTCATGGTGGCAGCGATGGCCTTGTCCAGGCGTGGGATCCACTCTCTGCTAACAAGGCGGCGATTCGAACCATCAACACGAGATCGGGAAATCGGGTACCTCGCCATCTAGCCCATATCAACCCAGCACTACGAAACCACCAATACTCGGCTGCAACATCCATTTGCCTACATCCGGATCCGACAAAGTTGTGTGGCGTCGTTGCCTTTGGCGCCTTTATTCGATCTTGGTCCTATGGCTCGGCCGCACACCCCTCAGGCCGGAAGCGGTCCAAGGGGGGCCTAGATCGTGCGGGTCTCGACGATCTCGACCAGGAATCAGAGCGCAATCAGTGGCTGAAAGCGAAGTTTGGCCCCGGCGAGTTGGGTGACTTGACAGAAGAAGAGTCGTTACTCTACGCTCTCATGATGTCTGAGGAGTCTTTCGTCCAGGACGAGATTCGACGTGCGACCAGCGACACGGGTTCTTTCACTGGAGATGGCTTTGAGTCTGCGTCGTCTTCCTTTAGCACGGTGGCAGGTAATACTGGCGAAGTGGACATTGATGCCCTCACCGCGGAAGCATCCGCGGCCTCGGATGACTTTTCAGCCGACTTTTACGAGAGTGGTGATCCCTTTGTGGATGACTACTTTGGCGGGGTCCCAGCCAGTACGAGCAGCAGCCCTGGGGAGTTTGGGTTCCCCATTACGTACAAGAAAAGGGGCAAGAAGTCGAAGAAACCAGCAACCGGGAACAGGGGCGGTTCACCTCCCTAAAGGAGGAGCCCACATCCGCAAAGAGGGAAGCTTGAGTTGGGGGTCGTAACTCGAAGGGCGAGCCGATTCTGTGAACCTAGCCATAGGTCTTGCCGAGCTGGGCACATGCGTCTATTTGGTCGTTGAGTCCGGCGCGATTATCTTTCTTAGCCAGGGGGAAACTGCCCCCTTGACTCTCTTACATACTTGGCAGCGGCTCGCGTCGTAGTCTATTTTTCGTGTTTTAGCTGTACGCTTATTCTTGTATTTGCGCGTTTCTTCTTCTTCACCCCTCATGGGCCCATCTTAATACAACATTTTGATCTTTCACACCCGAAATTTGGTGCCTAGCCCCTCTCGTGATGTCGCCTCGGAAAGTTCAAGTCACACTCCTTGACCCATGTCCCTGGAGGCAAAGCCCCGAGTTTGGATTACAAAGATTGTGGAAAGCCGATCTCAGTTGAAGCATCCTGCAGTCTGACGCTTTTCCCTTTGCATGAGCTTCGCCTTATGCGGCTCCGGTGGATCAAGAAACTCAATTAGCCTCCTAGTTCAAGGTGTACCCCTTGTTTGGGGAGGAGATAATAGATGACGAACGGGGAAATCGGGTAGACGTATCAAACCCCCCCCGGTCATCCGAACAAAAAAGCCATGTTTGGGTGCTGGGTAGGGCTGAGCACATTGGACCAAGCAAAAGCGCTCCAACGGTCACTGGAAGAAACGGCCCGAAACAAGGGCGCCCTCAATTCGGCGAAAGCTTCTCCTATCAGAACTTGCGAACGGTGACAGACAGATTATCCTTTCCCCTTTCTCCTTCACCGGGGTCCTGAGTAACCCCCAGCTCACGCAAACGTGCAGAAGTACCATTACTTCGTAGTTTTTTCTTTTTCTTTCGCCCAGGAAGTTCGAAAATTGTTGCCTTTTCGGGATACCTGCCCCGAAAAGGGGCTTGCCAGTGCGTACCCTTTGACCAGAAAACATCAGCGAATCAGAGTTTGAAGGATTGACATTGTAAACTAGGAGAGCCGCGATGATCCTTTTCAGCCCCGAGGATCTCACATTGAGGCCGATGTTACGCTGGACAGAATCCTTTTTCCCCTGCAGATTCGCGACTGACAACGGTCAGCCCTGTCAATATGATCCAAAGCTCTTTTGATTCGATTATTGATATTTCTTTAATCAAGCTTATGCCTGTATTAAGTATCTCTATCTACCGAGGTAGAAACAATCCCAGTGGCTCCAATATCCAACAAACCGAGGAGACGGTGTAAACCAAAGACTTTCTTGACTGTTCGTTCCCATATTCCAGTTCCTGCCTTTTGCGCCAATTACCCGATAATTGTGCTCCTTCTCCATAAAAGCTCGACCTATTCCAAGACAGAAAAGAAAAGAATTGGAGAATAGAAAGGGCTAGCAGGAGGTGTCGACAGAGCGGTTCTCCTCTAACCCCTTCCCTTCCAGTGCGGTCCTCCGTGCCATATGTAAGATAATATACACGTCTTTCGACAATATCCATCAGGAATTGGTCCTCGGCTTCACGTTAATCGCCGATTCGTAGAGGCTCACGGAAGAGACATCGTAAAATGCTCCTTTCTGCGTCCTCCGTATTCCACGTATAACATCCGAAACCAGTAGTCCCACCCATTCAATGCCATCCCGGCGAGTCGAGAAAATCCCATGATATCCCGGGTATCGTGTCGTCATAAACATTTATAAAGAAAAACAAAAGAAACAGCCAAGTAAGCCCGACTATTGATATCAAGTCTTCAAAAGGCCAACGCGGCGAACCGTTCACAAGATGAGGCTTTGCCAACTTGCCGGTGTTGTGTCGCAAGGAAAGAGTCCAAGAAGAATATGTCCCGAAGAACGCTCCATTCCACCTTTTTTTTCCCCCTTTGTTCAAATCGCAAATTCCAAAGCCCAGACGCCAAGCGCAATGCATAATGCTGTGATTCCCGCCGTCCAGTTCGGGCTGGGTATTATTCCCCCATCTTCCTCGTCCTCTCCCACGGATGGTGCCGCAGTTTCGGTGGGCATCGGAAGCATCGTGACGATTGTCGGGCCAAAAGGATATGGTATGGTCAACGTAGCCACCGTTATACCTTCTGGCGCAATGGTGATAGTCTCGCCGCCCACAAAAGTCGTGGTCGTCCCCGTTCCAGGACCGACGGTATAAGTCGTTTCCTTAATCACCACCTTGGATGCTCCGATCTGCGTGAGTGTAGCCCCACCGACAATGTCATATTTCGTCTGTGATGCTCCGAGGCGATCACCTCCTATCGTCGTGCCGTGAACGACAACGTCCGAGGGGCCAATCACGACAGTATCATCGTCGACGGTCTCTGTCTGCGGCGCGATACCTACGCCGTACGTAATGGTCGTCTGCATCAACACGACCACCGACTTCCCAATCGCCGTCATGAGTTCCCCGCCAGCCACGATAACTCCCGTTGGTTCCGGTATCTTCGCTTCGTATGTTATACCGGTCCCTTTATTCTTGAAACTTATTCCGCTAGGGCTAATAACGACCGTCCGGCCTTGCACCACCTGTGTTTCCGCCGTCCGTCCTATTGTGTAGGCATAGCCACCGATGACAGCAGAGCCACCGGAGACCACTATAGAAAGGCCATCGATGACGGCGGAGGTCGGGCTCGCTACGTAGAGCCCTTGTCCGCCAAGGCCTCGATCGATCGTCTTTCCGCCCAGCTGGATAATCTGACTCGGGTTAATTTCGTAGATACCGTTGCCTACCGTGACCGTAGTCGTTGCAGTGGGATTAATATTGGAGAGGGTCTTGTCGTCAATAATGACCCGGGTAGGTTCGGCCGTGATCGTGATTCCCCGCTTGTCCAAATCCGATACAAGCATGCTCTGATATGGAGGTCGCGGTGTTTGGTTACCACCATCTACCGGCTTATGGGTGTTCTTTCCACCTCCATCATTTCCATTTACACTATGTCCTGCCCCATAATCCGGCGTTTTTGAAGGGGGAAAGACGACGCTGGGGTTCTTAGACGTGACAATGAAGGTAGAAGTCGGCGCAAGACCTTCACCCGGAGCCTCGAAGAAGGGCTTTGTAACACTAACAGGCTGAGTGATTGCAGTGGGGGCCCGACTACTGAAAATAAACGAGGGGTTGAAGAAAGGCTCCGTAAAGCAGGTTGTCGTGCCATTAGACCCGGTTAAACAGGCTGTGTTCCAGAGCGAGGTGTCGTCTGCGGTGCTGCCTCCGTTAGCTAGTGATGTAGGTATCGTTGGTGGGGCAGTCGTGGGTGACCCGCGCTCCGAATCGCAATACGTTGGGACATCAATAGTAGGATGTGGAGGAGTATAATCCGCAGGATCTCCGGTCCAAGTAACGGTTTCTGTATATATGATGGAGAAAACTGTCTTGACTTCTCCTGGCGCAAGAGATGTACATACAGCCCCGTCATCGGATTTTACCAAGGACTCAGAGGGGTTGCCTCCATCCCCACCGCCCGAGCTTGGCGACCCATTATCATGCCCAGAGTCGCTGGGTTCTGGCACTATCGTAGGCGGATTCGGCTTTTGTGAGGATGCTTTGTCGGGGACGTCCGGAGTGTTATCGTCAGGCGATTCGGTGGGCTCCGAGGAAGATTTAGCAGACGGTGACTCCTCTGGTTGTGACGATAGCGCGGGATTGGTGCCGACACTACCGTCAGTGTCGACAGATGGTGGCGGTAAGGGTGATTTTGGGGTGGCCAAGGCATCTTGAGAGGGTGAGGTCTCATTCAGCTGACGTTGCCAGTGATATCGCGGACCTGGAACAACGCGACGTCAGTACCGCATTTTTTTTAAATTCACCTTCACAATTCCCATGCGAAAAGAGCGCATTTTAACAACACGTACCTATTCGCGCCGCAGAGGAGAGTTGACCCGAGAAGACTACGAGACCAAGCAGTGCTAGATCTCGGATCGCCATCGTGACGGTGTGTGTGGATTGAAGAGTTCCCGCGCCAGTCTCTCCAAAGGGGATGTGGAAAAAAGAAAGGTCGCCTTGCCCAAATCAAACTTTTTCTATCAATTCGACGTCGCTATGAACTCCGATCGAGGTCTACCGGCACTTTTCCTCCACAGTCCTAACAGCTAACATGGTCGATTTTTGGGAGGATTTCGAGCGGCAGGGTCTAGTATAGCGCGGGATGTGAAGAGAGGATGGAATTAGTTAGGACAGTCGGAATTCGGTGGGAGACAACAATGGGATGAGGAACTCGTCAAGCAGATGGTGAGACTGGGACGGCAAGAATGGGGACAGGACAGGACAGAGATCCCATTAAAGGCAATATGGGTGTTGAGGGGTTAATATTGGAGTTAACAAATCGGGATGGTGGATTGAAGGATGGAGTGGTCGAGAAGGGGTACGTGAAGCTATTGAAGTATGGGGTATTATGAGTGCGTGCCAGCCATGTCCTCCTGTCCAGTCCCGCACGGCGCAGCAGCATCGGCAGGACAGGGGAACAGGGGCGGATGATGGATACCGGGAGAAGGGCTGGCTTCGTACAAGGGGCGGTCCCATGTCTTGTTGTGGTCCACTCCAATCCAGTCCCATCTCATGCGGGCGACCACAATCCAGCGTCGTACTTTGTGGTACTTCGCTACGATCTCACTGATCGACTTCGTGAATTTCCGTGGGCTGACGACGTGGAATTGCGATCGAAGGAGCTGCATGGATCCACGACTGGGCCAGGTAAGTCCAGGACATTCCTTGTTGTGCAAGCCAAGGCTGATCTGCACCGAGGAATTCCTGCAGTGTACATCGTATGTACAGTGGATCTGCGCCAGGCATTAGTGTGCGAGCAGGCACGCCACGAAATCTAGTGAAAGTGAGAGCGGCAGGGGACAACAACAGCATTCAGCCCGCCTGATATGCACTACTTCGTACAACAGCTTGACCTTGGAAGTACGAACATGCCGAGTTGTGTAGCCTAGCTTTCATTGCAAGCGATGTATCTCTTTGGCGTCCTGTACTCTGATGCAAATGAGCTGCGGCCTGCATCTTG